GGGGGGGGGTGGGGGGGCTGGGCGGGCTTGCCTCCACGGGGAGCTTGGCCCGGGGGAGTGGCGTTGCGCCGTTTTTTAAGAAAAAACAGTCTCTGCTGTAACATGGGGCTTCTGAGCAGCTCTGTACGCGTGGGGGTTAGGCGTGGGAGGATGGGGACTCGAGTGAAGTGTGCGAGCATGCCTGGTCTGTTTCAATAAATCCCCAAATACGTAATTTTTGAAGACGCAGATACGCCATTGCAATGCTGGAATTTTAGTCTTCGGTAGTAACGGGATGTTATGAAGTGGGAACGTGGTGGTGTGCCGTTCTGTGTAACTTGTCTTTGCCCTCTAGTGTCTAAGCCAGGCCAGCCCGAGGACGCTGGCAGGCAGCTCAAGAAAAAGAAGAGAAAGAAACCCAAGAAGCAAGCTGAGAAGAGGAATGCTCCTTCAGTCAACCAGGTGGTCTCTAACACCAATAAACCCACTCCAGGACAGAAAGCCGCCCCTCAAGCCAGCAAATCATCTCCGCGGGGTGTTGCAGGGAGCAGAAATGAGGGTTTGGTGACAGGTAAGAATACCAGTGTGGTCGTGGTCCGGCTAAAGTTACCTGAGCTGAGGTGGCTGCTTTTCAGTTGCTTCACACGTGTCTAGTTTGGAAAGCCTTTAAGAAGTTCGGCTGAATGGAAAATGTCTTTGCTTCTTCCATGTGCCCTAAAAGCTTACGCGCATGTACGTACATTTGTAACGTCACCACCGGGTGGCTCTCTGGAAACAGGAGCGTTTAGTCTGAATTGCGGACTTCTTATGTATTCGGGTAACTTCTGGGAATTACTGCGTGGATGCAATCTCTGTCGTGCCAGGCTGGCTTCCCACCTTGAATCTGAAAAGCCTGATCGCAAAGAAAATATGTCCTTGGCGTCTTTGTTTCCGCTAGCTTGGTACTTGTCTTCTGCCTTGTTAGGCAGCCGCAGGGCATGCCGGGCCGCTCTGGCTGGCAGTGTTGAATGATAATATGGATAGAAAAGGGGGAATTCTGAAGAAACCAATGAAATAGAAACTCTTGGCTTCTTTAGATTTTCTGTTCTATTCACAGCATCTAAAGAGTTCTCAGAGGTTTTCCCGTAGCCGTAGAGAGTTCTCCTGTTTAGCTAGCGCTGTTCTTTATGTGTTTTTATTTTCTTCCTCTCGTTTTCAGGGAGGAAAAGTGAACTGGGTTCCCCTTCTTTTTTGGCAATGAATCTCTTGCGTCAGAGACTACATGAGAAGATTAAAAAAGCTTCTGGACAAGTATGAGAACCCTTAATGTGCATCCATGTGTGTTTGCAATATAAATTCTCCCTAGCCTCCCAGGGGATGTGGGGACAAGACTACCATCTTACAAGGCTCAGGGTTTGAGCTAATTCCATCTCCTAAGGGAGAGCCTGTAGGTATTGATGGGAGACCCTGCGTGTATTCCGTGGTCTGGAAAAACACGTGAGAAAAGGTAGGGCCTGGCTCGGAGGAGAGCGTGCCTCTGGTGATTTATAGAAAAAAGAAAAGCACTAAGAGCCTGAAAGGGAACATGGCTACGGGGTGTCGAGGGAGAGTAAAGGGTTTGAAATGCCTTTACCGTGTTTAGTATCTCCAGAAGCTGAGCCCACGGCTTCTTGTCGCATGTACTGTGTTTCTTAGGAGAAGTTTGAAATCGGGAACTTGAGGACATCCCGCTTCTAATTCTGCTTTATCCTTTTAAGGCTCCTGATTCATGTCCATCCTTCTTCTTAGGATGATGCCAAGGAATTACCCCCTGCAGTCCTGGAGAAGAGGCAGCGAAGGAAGTATGAGAGAGAGAGAAAGAAGCGCCGAAGAAAGGAGTTGAAGATGAAGGCAAAAATGGAGAAGAAAGAAACTGAGGAGGTACCGGTAGAGCCAGAAAGCAAAAAGGAGGAGAGCACAGCCGAGATTGTCTTTAACAGGGTCGAAGTCCACGAAGAGAATGAGTTGAACAAGATCCAGAAGAAGAAAGAGAAGAGGAAAGCAGTGAAAGGCAAGATCACCCCTCTGACGGGCAAAAACTACAAGCAGCTGCTGAGCAGGCTGGAGACCAGGAAGAGTAAGCTGGAGGAGCTCAAGGATAAGGACCAGAAGAAAGCTCAGGAGGTGGAAACCAAGATGAAATGGACAAATGTTCTCTATAAGGCGGAAGGTGTGAAGATTCATGACAACGAGGAGCGTCTGAAAGCAGCTCTGAAGCGTAAGGAGAAGCGTAAAGCGCAACGCCAAAGGCTGTGGGAGAAGCGGACAGAAAAAGTGGTAGAAAAGATGCAACAGCGGCAGGAAAAGCGTCGCAAGAACATTCAGAAGAAGAAGAAGGATAGGATGGAGAAGAAGAAAGCCAGGGCCCGGAAGAAAGGCCGGGTTCTGCCAGAGGACTTGAAAAAAGCTGGCTTAAAGTGAGAGCGAGGCGGCCGGTCCCCGCAGCCTGGGAGCGGGAGTTCTGCTGGTGGGGCTCGGCCGTGAGCTGCGGCAGAGCGGAGCCTGCCTGGCCGGGGCCGTGCCACCCCTGTCCCGGAGGAGGAGGAGGAGGAGGCAGCAGCGCCCCAGGAAAGCAGCCTGTGGGGCAGTCGTTGCCGTGGCTTCCCGACTTAATGACAGCGAAAAGGCCCTGTTGTGTGTTTGTTGATTAAATTTCCTACCCCGAAGAAACACCTTCTGGTTGATGCGTTGTAGTAATTGTCGTCCTTTTCCTGAAGGGCGGGTGTCGGTCGCTGTCGTTTCCCCCGGCGGGCTGCACGCCGCTGGACGGGTCGCTCGAAGCCGAGGGAACTGACACACACACCCCCCCCGCCCCGGATCAGCCTCCCGGTGAGGGGGGGG